TGTGTGAATGTGGAGGGAGGGGGCATGCCTTCTCCCCTCCTTTGTGTGGCTCCATCTATCTTTTAGGGGTTTTGGTTTGCTCTTCCCTTGTTTATTCTGTCAGAGAACAGTTTAGACAGCCACAATGTTGAGCTGCCTGACTTGGCAGCCGCCATGTTGGCCGCATGGCCTGCCGTGCCCCTGGGGGCCACCATCTTGGAACAGTAAAGGCCCCTCCCTCTGACTTAGTCAATCACAAAAGGAGTGTCTGCTCACTGAAGCAGGATGGGATTTCAGGGGTGGAGTTTTAAGGCGGAGTTTTACTAAGGAAATGCAGATGGGGCAGAAAGTGTGCCTGCCTCAGATTTTTTAATACTAAATTAGCAATCACGGTCTTAATATAATTTTAGTGATATGATAGACCAATGTTTTGAGCAGTTGGCTTTATAAGGGCCGACAATAGAGCTCGTATTTCTTAAAGGGCTTGTAGATAGAGATTTGAAAAGCTTTTATAAATGCATCTGGGATTTCTGTGCACATGTAAAGGAAAAGGCCAGTTTAAAAACGAGTGCGCATAGTTTTGAGCTGAACTTGACCTTTTGCTGTGTACAGAATAAAAACCCGAGACTGTTTTGGCCTTAATAGTTATGGGTTTGCTTCTTGAATTCCCCAGCAGGAAAATTGTAACCATTTTGAAATTTAGCAGCTATGCCAGGATAGCAGTAATCCAATTTCTAAAGTAAAGTACAATTATTTCAGGTAGAAACTGTGGTTTAAAAGTTCTAGCTACCTGGAAAGCATGGCCTTGGTATGATGGGAGGAAAAAGAAATGTTAAGTGGATGTTAGACCAGTGAGCTGGGACTGGTCACTGATGGTGGATTGTGAAAAGGGCTGGACGTGGCCTAACTTCTCCTTCCTTGGTACCCCTGAAACGTCTGAGGGTACTTCTGGCCTTGGTTTTCCAATGTGTTAAATCTGTCAATTTTGTTGTTTCGCTGAAATCCTCTTGAAGGACACTGAATGGTTCTTTCCTTCCTCTTTAACTTTTGGGGGATTGTGTGAATGGATTACTGATGTAGATTATCAAGAATCTCTAAGGTACTTGTCCTGGAGGAATGGCTTCTAGATGGTATTCACCGTCTCTGGGACTTCCGGAGGGAAGTCAAAGCTCAGACTGGCTAAGGGTTCGAATCTGGCCTATCTTTTAAAAAGGTAGAAAAGAAGCATTCCTAGGCAGTTTTCTACTGCCTCTGTTCAGGGACTTGTTCTGTATCTTGACACAACTGAAACTGATTTGTTGGTATTTTGTGGTATAAATGTGGCATGCACCTCGAAGTTCTTAATGGGGAATGTATCTAGTTTCTATTTAGTCTTGATTTCCTTGTTCAATATGAGTACCATTTCTATCTGGATGAGACATAGGTCAAGAATCCTGTCCTGGGATGTGGGAAAGGGAGGCCCCCACATCTGTTCCTGTCAGGCCCCCATCAGGGGACTTGGGCAGTGTTCCTGTTATCTGCTCAAGATCCCAAGACTGTAAAGGTACTTGTTCACTGAAAGGGTGTAAGTGTAAATATTTATTTGATGTTTGTATGTCTACTTGGGTATAATTATTTGTTCATGTAAATGTGGAAGTATATTCTGTGCTAGGTTGGGATTTTGGAATTCTGGGGTAGATTTAAAAGGTATTTGTGGCTTTTCTAGCCTGATTGGGACATTTAAGGGTGGGGCTCACAGTTCCTCAGGGCAGAGATTTCATGGGCCCTTCCCCCTGCCTGTGCTGAATTAAATAATACAGGCCAGTGTCATTTAGCTTGCTGGTTAAAGGAAAACAATGGGCCTTAGAATCTGTAAAGGTGGGCGGGAATGAAGCTGGTCAAATGTACTGCAAGGGTTTGGTACCTGTTGCTGCTAGCAAAGGAGGGGCTGATACCCACTTCTAGCGCACTCCCTTGAAAGAGGCCTGGTTGCTACTCTGCCACAAAGGGAACTGGTAGAAAGACAAGAAAGCAGAGTGCTGTAACTGATAAACATGGTTACCTAGAAGCCATCAGGACTTTGAAGTTCTCCAAGAGAGGAGGAATCTAACTCGGAGACTGGCGAGGACTGGGTGGCTTTTCTTTAACAATCTCTTTTCTTGAGAGGGCTCCAGAGGGCGCACGAGGACATTTGGCCACACCTCCGCACCATCTACGAGACCAGCCCAACCCCAACTCCTTATCAGCACAGACCAGGAGATTGGGTCTACATCAGAAGTCACCGCAGGGAGACCCTAGAGCCATGTTGGAAGGGTCCCTACATTGTGGTGCTGACGACCCCCACCGCTCTCAAGGTAGACGGCGTCGCGACCTGGGTCCATCCGGAAAGACTTCATCACCAAATGGAGCATTGATCGAGATCAACGCAACCCGCTCAAGCTCAAGCTATGGCGTGCTCGACCTGCCTGATGCCGGTAACATGACTCGCGATCACTCCTGTCACCAGGAGCCCCTACAATACTGTGTAATACACTTAGATAATGCCTGCATCTTCATGGACATGGCTCCAAAGAGACAAGGACAATTTATAGGATCACATGTTTAGTAGCAGAAGATTTGGCTGTCTAAAGCAGCAATGATGCCAATATTGTGTTTCATTGTATTGATATGTTATATTGACCTTTGATTCTCTTGCAGATTTGAATGTATGTTGGTTATCCTGAAAGGGGACTGTGTGGGGTGACCCACAGAAGTAAAGGGTGTCTAGCTGCCAAGAGGGCAGGTGCCCAACTGGGCAGGGAAGGGTGCCCACCAGGTTTTGGTCTCTGTTGAGAGACAGCTAACAGTTGGCAGCCTGTAATACTGTCTTGCAGGCCTGAGTCACCATGCCCATGTCAGGGGTAGTAAAGCTGGAAAAAGCCTGTTTAGAATAGAAGGTCTGAGGCATGGTTATGCATAGAAAGAAGGTTTATGCCAACAGTTACTGTTTTGTTTTAAATCCATGAAAAGGAATTAGCAAGGAAAGTCAGAAAATCTTAGAGTAGATCAGTATGTTTTTCTCCTTATGTAATTCCTCCGAAATCTGGCAATGCTAAATAAGTATGTTTCTTTTCATAGATCCAATAAGACTGATTCCTAATAGTGGTTTTATTAACGGAAAACTTTGACTGGAGTATCATGTTTTAAAGAGCCCTGTCTGAACTCTAAAGACTTGAAGCCACTAAGAATGCCACGAAGAAAGCCTGGTATCCTGCTTGGGAGCCCTGAAGATGGCTGGCGCTAGAGCGTCAGGCCCATGCCCTACCATCTCTGGCGGTTGGTAAGAGTAGAAGGGGAGCAGTAAAGATGCCTCTGCATCCCTGCGGAACCCCCACACACTCTGGGCCGCAACGAGTAGGAGGGCTACTGAGATGGGCCTTAAAGCCTGGAGCGTGGGCTCAGGTGGAGTTGCTAAAGGGGAGGGATTCACCTAACTCAGCAGATACTGCAGGCAGGCCTGATGGCAGCTGGATGGCTTGGCTTCCTGGCCCTACGGGGCACATTAAGGTTCAACCATGAAATTCCAGCAAAGGTAGTCAGTTACCATTCTTGTTGTGTTTATGCAAACATCAGGACAGTAGATAAATTAATCTTGATTTGGCTTTTTGATAGCCATGGAGGAATTTTAAGAAGAAAAATCCCGTTTCAATAGAAGTTGTTAAATCTAAAATGGTTTCTTTCCCTTCCACCGGGCCATTTGTTAAGCTTATAGGGATAGTTCAGTTGATAGTTCTGTGTGCCCAGTATGGGCCTCTAGCAACGGTGGAATAGAAATGCAGTCCGTCTCATGTTTGAGCTGGAAGTTCCAAGACAAGGGGGGAATGAAAGGGCGAGGACTACACCCTCCACCTTGCCCCAGGGTAAGGGCTATGCCCTCCATCTTACCTTGGCCATGTGCTCAGCAAGGCTTCTTCCCAGAAGCCAAGCCGCTGCTGGCCACGCCCTGGATTTCTCTGGACTGGCCAATGATAGTCAAGGGCGCGCCTGGCCAATCGGCAGGGCCCACAGTCCTTTCTCCTCCCCTTACCCCAACCCCCTATAAAACCTCTCTCCACACAGAGTTTTCTCTCTCTCTGCCACCTGCTGCTGTGCCAGTAAGTGGGGGGAGGGGGGCAGGGGAGCCAAACCTAGGTTTGAAATAAATGACTCTTTGCTTTTGCATCGGACTCGCTGGCTCCCTGTGGGTTCTTGGGAATCTTGAAATCTGGGCACAACACTTCCAGGTACCATTTAACAATATCAAATTGTGAGTGGTGATAAAGTTTGGCTGATATGTTGACTCTTGCATTTATGCTCAGAGAGTGTCCTTTAGGGAAATAGTCCTTCTAGATCTGATTATTTCTGGGCATAGTCCAGCCAAGTCTCACTGATGCTAGCACGTGCTGCTCCTGAAATGGCACAGCTGGCTGCCGAGAGTACAGAATACAGCATTTAAGTGATCAGAGATGAAACAACTAGGCAGCCACCAACATGCTTCTTGACAAGAGAAACACGAGGTTCCTACTGCAGAACTGACCCTACTGGAATTCAGGAAAGAGCTTATTGCTGTAGGCATGCTGAAATCTGCAGCCAGCAGGAACATCATTGTGTGTGTGGGAGGAAGCTTCTTCTCTGGTTTGATAAGGGTTGGCTTGAATGGCTGAGCCCAGCAGGAAGGCCAGGTCCACTAGTGTACTGAGTTTTGTCATCAGATTCCACTTAAGCACAAGTCCTGCCAGGATCTGTTCCCAAAATTAATCAATACAAAGGAACAACTGCATCTGACCTGGCCACTCATTTGACCTGGACCCCTCTGAAATTTTGTCCACAGGATGCTAGTGTTGCCAGAGTAAAATAGTGAATTCTTCTGTCCAATAAGGTAAATTCTAAAAAGGAGAAAACAGTGTGGGGAGCAGATTACAGCCATGCAAAATGAGACACATTTCCTGAACACAGAACAGACACCATCTTCCTTCCATTCCCACAGCTGCCAAAGAGCTCTAGCTCACAAATCTGAATGGATCTTGCCTGCTCAAAGCTCTTTATTGGCTCCTTTACATTCATGACATAAAATCCAAAATCTCTGCATAACACAATCAGGCCCATCTCTCTCTCTTCCTCCTCTACAGCCTTCTAATCCTACCTTATGCTTCAGCCGTGCTGAACAGACTTCAGGTCCCACAGCAAGTCCTGCCCTGTAGGGGTGCAACTGTGCACCCTCCTGCCTCTGTGAGGAATGCCTAACCTCCTTGTCTGCAGAGCACATTTCTGTCCCTCCTCTGAGCCTCAGCCCAGCTCTGACTGCCTCAGTGAAACATCCCCCTACTCTTCCAGCCCCCGAGGCTCTAAGGGCCTTTCTGTTTCCATAACCTAAGCTCTGGCATTCTGATTTATGTATAAGGGTGGAGCTGAGGCTCTGAAGGGCAGTGAGTACATCCCTTCCATAACCTACATCACAGAGGCCTAGCAAAAGGCTTATCTTCTGGAAGGTGCTCAAATGTTTGTTGAAGTAATGAATGAACACCACTTGCATTTTATCTCTAGTAATGTCTAAACAGAAGAAAATCACATTTGTCTTCTCAGAAGAGGGAAGATATTCAAATACTAAGAATTGCAGTTCCTGGTAAGACCTTTTAGAAAATGACGTCAGCAACAGTAGCAACTAGAAACTCAGCAGAATGCTTAAGTACTAAAACCAGAATGAAATGGGCCAAGACTTGAACAGTCATGGTTTAGGTAGACTGGGGCACAGGGGAGAGGGGATGGAGGAGGGGGGCAGTTGGGAGAGTTTCAAGACTATCTAAGCTTGTCTAAGGTTTAAGAATCACAAGTTCTTGGCTTTTCAAACATAAAAGCAATCTTGCTGAATGATACATTCACATGGGTACCTGGGGAAAGCTAGATCTGTACACCTATTAATAAAAAGGCCCTTAAAAAAAAAAAAAAGAATCGTAAGTTCTTTTTTAAGAATCACAGATATTTACATTGTGGATCTGGGATACACTTTTACACGAGTTAAGCTGTTTCCAGCTGGAGTGGCTTTGGAAAGTCCACTCTAAAATGAAGTCACCTATTGTCGTCACTGTCCTCCTCCCCAACCTTTGTTCTGAAACCAAGCACCTTCCTGTGACACCCAAAGGAGGCTGCTCTCTTTAGTTTTCCATGCGACTCCCAAGTTGGTCCAAGCTGTGGGGATCACTCTTCAGCTCAGGGGTGGACAGATGCTCCAGCTCATAGTGCCCATTGTCAAAGGCCTTATGTGTGGGTTTCTCTTTCATGCCCTCCTTCTGGTTCCTCTTGTGCTCAATAATTTGCTGGAGTTGGTGCCCAGCATACTCTGGCTTAATGGTCAGTGGGCCCCCAGCTGGCACAGCCACACCAAGAATATCTGACACCATGTACGGGCGTAGCCAGCCCACCAGAGGAGTGCTTCCAGGGCTATAGTGGGTCTGCTTGTGGTAGAAGAGAAGTCCATCCACCTATAAGAAAAGAGACCAGGGATCAAAATGACTTCTGAGGCCACATGTTTTTAGGAGAGCCTAGACACACGGGGCAGCTCTAGTGGTTTAAATCCTTTTTCTGAGTCACTGCCAGAGGAAAGAGTTCTCATTTCTCACACATGCAATTTCTCTAAATGAAGAAATGGCCTAGAAAACTAAATTTTAGAAAATAAAAAAACATAAATAGCACATTCCTGTTTATAGTGTGCTTCCCTACCCACTACTTCACCCTTTTACCCACCATGAGGGTATTTTTGAGATGGGGCTGGCTCAAAGTTCTGGGGGGCTTCTGTAATAACACAGTTAGTATGAAGTAGAAATTCAACTTGAACCCAAGTCCTCTCCCCAAATCCCATGCACTCCCATCACCCAGAGATCTCATAGTGGGTTATGTGTTCTGCACATGGAACAAAGCAGGGGAACTGGATAGGCCCATATGAGATGCTGGACTGCTGAGCACAGAGGAAACCTGTGTGGTCAGTGGTTGAGCAGTGACCTATAAACCAGGAGGTCATGGTTCAATTCCTGGTCAGGGCACATGCCCGGTGTGGGCTTGATTCCCAGTTGGGGATGTGCAGGAGGCAGCCGATCAATGATTCTCTCTCACCCATTGATGTTTCTATCTCAGACTCCTTTTCCTTCCTCTGAAATCAATAAAAATACATTATTAAGAACAAAAAGAAGCCATGCTCCCCAAGCCATTGTTAGCTGCCTAACTCTTTCCCCTAAATTGTTGAAAGCTATGTTCTAGGAACTCGGTTTTTCTTAATGGTAAGATTTCCTACAGTCCCAAATTTTCTTTTCTGGGAGTCAGCAACTGATCTCTAAAAAGCATTTACTGGATCAACCAAAGGACTTGTATGCATGCATATAAGCTTAGCCAATGAACATAGACACCAGGGTGGTGAGAGCAGGAGTGGGGGGAACGACATTGGGGGAATAAGGACATATATGTAATACCTTAAACAATAAAGAAAAAGAAAAGCATTTACTGTAACTTTATTTATAGTATAAGGGCTATAAGTAAAAATAAAGATGGCAGCCTGGTTAGTGTGGCACAGTAGTTGGAGCATCAGCCCTAACACTGAAGGGTCTCGGTTTTGATTCACGTACCTGGGTTGTGAGTTCACTCCTCAGGCGAGTGTGGTAGGCAACCAGTCCATGTGTTAGTGTCACATCAATGTTTCTCTCTCTCTCTCTCTTTCTCTCTCCCCCGCCTCCCGTCCCCTCCCTCCCTCCCTTCTTTCTCTTAAAAGCAATGGAAAAAATATCCCTCAGGTGAGGATTAACAAAAATAGATAAATAAAAATAAAGATGGTGTTCTTACGACCTTCTTAATTGACTCCCAGAAATGAAGGCAACCGCCGGAAGCTGTGACCCTTCTGCAAAATATATCCAGTTCAAGCAAAGACTTGTAGGTGACTAGGCAGAATTTTAAAGGGTATGTTGGGCAAAGGAAAGTTTGTTTATTGAGACTGGAGAGGATAACTGCAGGTTCTAAGGATGACAGAAGACTGCTCAAGACTGAAGAGCTGCTGACAATGGGAGATTTTCAACACTAAGACTGGGAAAGTCCTGGACACAAACTGGGATGAGTTCGTCACCTGCCCCATGCCACTGCTCAGCAATCACTGACATACTCAGGGATCATTTGCTCTTCCTAGGAAAGAAGAATTAGAAGTTTACATTCCTGTGGTCCATCAGTCAAAGAAGTCCCTTTACTTTACAACCAGCCATGGCAGTCACACAAAGGGCCTGGTTCTCAAGCTTACAGCAGGAAGGGGCAAACAAAGAACAATCTAGGAATGAAAGCCTCACCCTGATCTGGGCCTCAATTTCTCTATCTGTAAATTGAGAGAGTTAGATGAGGTGTCCTTTCAGGGCCTTCTAGCTCTGGCATTCTGATTTATGTAGACAGGTGGAGCTGAGGCTCTGAAGGGCAGTGAGTACATCCCTTCTTAGATATCAGCTTTCAAGCCCTTTTCTTTTTCTTAAAGAGATTTTAGAGAGAAGAAAGGGGGGAGGGGCTAGAAAGAATCATCGATAGGTTGTCTCCCACATGCACTCTGACAAGGAATCAAATCCGAAATTTTTTGGTGTCCAAGATGACATTCCAACCAACCTTCTGAGCCACACCAGTCAGGGCTCAGCCCTTTTCTGATGCTTTAACATAGCAAAGTCAAAAGATATCTTAAGACTGTGTAACCAAGTTTTCCAGTGTCCTGAAACCACATCAGAACAATAAAGACAATGACTTTGTTACCTCAAAAGGGAAATCCATCGACAGCACCTTACACAGGCTCTCAGGGGTACAAGGAAAATTCTTTAGCCCTACAAATTTAAACTAAAATATAAATTAAAACAAAGAATTAGTACATATTACAAATAATACTATTCTAGCAACTGAAAAGCTATATCAAAGAAGTTTTTTGTCTCTTCCTTCCCAGCTACCTCCCCTCCACCTACATGCTGAATTACTAGGTCAGTGGTTCTCAACCTTGCTTTATACAGGAGAATCACTTGGGGAACTCTTAAAAATTACTGATGCCCAGGCCCCACTCTGAGATTCTGACTGAAATGGTCTGGAAGAAGCCCAGACAGTGATTTTAACATATAGTCAGGATTGAGAACCAGGGATTATATGTTATTCTTCCAGCCCTCTGACAATTGCCCCTAATGAAGGAGTAGTTGAACTTCTTTCACACCAGCAAGGATTTTATTTATTTATTTGTTATTTTTACCAGTATTTCTTTTAGCAGTAAGGATTTTTAGACTAAAGCAGTATAACTAGTGCTTTGACTCCCAGCTCTGCCAATCATTTTATCTCTATATGATTTCATTTTCCCATCTGTAAAATGGGATAAAAGTATCAACTTCATAGGGTTGTTGTGTGGATTCAATGAGATAATACATGTAAGAGCACTAGAACTGCTCCCATGCTCCCCCTTTTCTTAATACACATTTTTCCAGGATGTTATTGATAACATCACTGGAAGTACTGACCCCATTTATTGTCCTGTAACTGTTATCTAATTGCCTTTAAAAATGTTGTAACAAAAAAAACAACAACAAAAACAAAAAAGAAAGAAAGAAAAGAAGAGCTGGCTGGCGTGGCTCAGTGGTTGAGCATTGACCTATGAACCAGGAGGTCACGGTTCGATTTCCAGTTAGGGCATATGCCCGGGTTGTGGGCTCAATTCCCAGTGTGGGGCGTGCAGGAGACAGCCGATCAATGATTCTCTCTCATCACTGATGTTTCTATCTCTCTCCTCCCTCTCCCTTCCTCTCTTAAATCAATAAAAATATATTGAGAAAAAGAATGTAGGCAGTCCGGCCACTGTAGCTCAGTGGTTGAGCATCAGCCTATGAACCAGGATATGGTGATTCAATTCCTGGTCAAGCAAGGCACATGCCCAGGTTTCGGGCTTGATACCCAGTGAGGGGCATGCAGAAGATGGCCAATCAATGATTCTCTCTCATCATTGATCTTTCTATCTCTCTCTCCCTCTCCTCTCCCCTCCCCTCTCTGAAATAAAAAAAAAATACCAGTATTTATAAAAAATGTTGTAAATAATCCAGGCAAATACCAATCTACAGGGCTTATTAAATGTCCTCAAAATAGCTGTCATATATTTAATCATTGAGCAGATAACAAACACACTTGAACTACCATCTGTACTGTGGGACCTTGGGGAAGGCAGTCCCCTCTCTGAGTCTATATTCTCATCTGTAAAATGAGGGAACTGACTAGATGAAGTTACTCTCAGCTCAGATATAAGAGCAGAGGTTATCAAAATGTGGTTCATGGGCCAGTGATATTAGCATCACTGGGGAACTTTAGCATTTCACACCAACCACTATTTATTGAGAGCCTACCACAAGTACTATGCTACGAGGACGTACATATTTTTCTCATTTAGTTCTTAGAACTACCCTGTAAAACAGATATTATTAATCCTATTATACAGATGAAGAAACTAAGGCCAAGTGATGTTTTTAGCTTAGCCTAATAATTATTAAAGCCAAAACTGGAATTCAGATCCGGATGACTGTTAAGCCTATAATCTTCCTGTTATGCTGTACTATCTCAAAATTAAAGAATTTCATTTATAATGGTTGTATGTAGACAATAGATCATTCCAAACCAATCCACATAAAGAACTCTGCAACCCTAATCCCAGGCCTTACAGGATTGAGCTTGGTGTTCTCTCCCAGTCCTTCTTCTTCTGGTAACTTTGAATGCATCCAGTAGAATCGGAAATCAGTCTGCCACAAAAAAAAGACAAAGATAAAATACAGCTCATCTCAAACTCTAATAGGAGCAAAAAGCCACATTCTAAATAGCCACCTGATTTATGAAGACCTAAGCCCTTCTATCGTTACCCTCATTTCCTTAAAACACTGCCATCAGATCAGGAAGATATTTATAAAATCTTTGAAGATTTTTTCTTTTCTTTTTTTTTTTTTAATTAAATCTTTATTGTTCAGATTATTACATTTGTTCCTCTTTTTTCCCACCCATAACTCCCCTCCTCCCAGTTCCCGCCCCACCCTCCGCCCTCACTCCCCACCCACTGTCCTCATCCATAGGTGCACGATTTTTGTCCAGTCTCTTCCCGCATCTCCCACACCCCTTTCCTCCCCCAAGAATGGCCAGTCCATTCCCTTTCTATGTCCCTGATTCTATTATAATCACCAGTTCATTCTGTTCATCAGATTATTTATTCACTTGATTCTTAGATTCACTTATTGATAGATGCATATTTGTTGTTCATAATTTGTATCTTTACCTTTTTCTTCCTCTTCCTCTTCTTAAAGGATACCTTTCAGCATTTCATATAATCCTGGTTTGGTGGTGATGAACTCCTTTAGCTTTTCCTTATCTGTGAAGCTCTTTATCTGACCTTCAATTCTGAATGATAGCTTTGCTGGATAAAGTAATCTTGGTTGTAGGTTGTTGGTATTCATCACTTTGAATATTTCTTGCCACTCCCTTCTGGCCTGCAAAGTTTCTGTTGAGAAATCAGCTGACAGTCGTATGGGTATTCCCTTGTAGGTAACTGAGTTTCTTTCTCTTGCTGTTTTTAAGATTCTCTCTTTGTCTTTTGCTCTTGGCATTTTAATTCTGATGTGTCTTGGTGTGGTCCTCTTTGGATTCCTTTTGTTTGGGGTTCTCCGCGCTTCTTGGACCTGTAAGTCCATTTCTTTCACCAGGTGGGGGAAGTTTTCTGTCATTATTTCTTCAAATAGGTTTTCAATATCTTGCTCTCTCTCATCTTCTGGCACCCCTATAATTCTGATGTTGGTACGCTTGAAGCTGTCCCAGAGGTTCCTTACACTATCCTCGCATTTTTGGATTCTTTTCTCATTTTGCTTTTCCGGTTGGGTGTTTTTTGCTTCCTCGCATTTCAAATCATTGACTTGATTCTTGCGCTCCTCTGGTCTGCTGTCGGGAGTCTGTATAATATTCGTTATTTCAGTCCGTGTATGCTTAATTTCTAGTTGGTTCCCCAATATAAGATCGAGGGTCTCATTAGTTTTCTTGTAGATATCATTAAGTTTATCGGCGGCTTCTAAACAGTTCTTGAGAGACCTTAAAAGTGTGGTTCTGAACTCTATATCTTCCATTGACAATTTTGTCCTGTTTCTTTGTCTCTGCATTTTGTTATGCTTCCTTGGTGCGCCAACTAGTGGTCTTTGTGCGCAGTCTTATAGTTAAACCTTGATTGTTGGAGCTAATACCAGGGAGGGTTTGACCTCCAGGCCAAGTGGCTATGAGAATCAGCTGTGTCTGCAGTGAGAGAACTTCTGTCCTCTAGGGAGGTGCTAATCTAGCCTTTGCCTGAGGCTATCCGGCAAATGCCTCTGTGCAGGGCTTGGGCGGGGCGGGTCGCACAGGATCAACAGGGTGGGCCGGAGAGAGCAGTTATGGTGGCTCTCAGTCCTGTCCCCAGGGGCTCTGCCTCTCTGAGTCCCAGCACCCGCTGCAAACCTCGGAGAGAAAGCTGCACTCGCTCTGACCGAAGCCAGACAGTCCCGCTTCTCCCGTTTGAGTCTGGGTCCCTAGAGACTCGCCCGGATCTGGAGCTCAGAGTCTGCGACTCCCTCCCGATTGAAAACGCCAACCGCACCCTCCGCCGCCAGCCCGCTCTGCGCACTCCGCACCTCAGAATTTGACTTCAGCACTGCGCCTCCTCTGAGTGTCCGTATGCGTTTCTCTTTCCTCCTAGTTGTAGGACTTCCACTCAGCCAGCGTTCCTGTGGTTCTGGGTGATGTCCGTTCCGTTTTTTAGTTTCACTTTTGAAGTAGTTGTTCAAGGCTGCAAACTCCGGCATTAACCTATGCCGCCATCTTGGTTCTCCTCCCTAGATCTCCCCCAAGATTTTTTCTTTCACTTTTTTTTCTTTAGATTTGCCAACGTGTCAAAAATAACCTTTATTACTTTTGTAACAGCCTCTATGTTCTCACACTTTCTTGCCAGAAGCCTTTGTAGCAGGTGCTTTCAGACCCTTGTGCTTTTCAAGGTGCTGCCTTCTGGCCTACAGCTTTCTAGGCAGACACTCTCTGGACTGGAACTGTCTTGCCTGTAGCGATCACTTTTATTTTTTAAAGAATAGTTTACTGCCAAAACCGGTTTGGCTCAGTGGATAGAGCATCGGCCTGCGGACTGAAGGGTCCCAGGTTCGATTCCAGTCAAGGGTATGTACCTGGGTTGCAGGCATATCCCCAGTGGGAGATGTGCAGGAGGCATCTGTTTCTCTCTCATCGATGTTTCTAACTCTCTATCTCTCTCCCTTCCTCTCTGTAAAAAATCAATAAATTAAAAAAAAAAAAAAAGAATAGTTTATTGATTTTTAGAGAGAGAGAGAGGAAGGGAAAGAAACATTGATGTAAAAGCACATCAATTGATTGCCTCCTGCATGCCCTCCTCCACCAGGGATGGAGCCCAAAACCCGGGCATGTGCCCTGACTGGGAATAGAACTGGCAACCTTTCTGGGCATGTGATGACACCCAACCAACTGAGCCACATCGGCCAGGGCCAGTGGCCACCATTTTTGCTGGAACCTTTGCAGAAGCAGTTGTAGCTCCACCTTTAACAGCAGGTGCTTTTTAGGAAGCTTTCAGGAGAGCTGTCGCCCCCCTTTTTTTGGCTAATCCTCACTAGAGGATAGTTTCTCCATTGATTTTTAGAGAGGGTAAGGAAGGTGGGGGAGGGAGAAGGAGAGAAACATCTATGTGAAAAAGACACATCCATTGGTTGCCTCCCACATGTGCCCCAACTGGAGCCAGGGATCGAACCTGCAACCCAGGTATATGCCTTTGACCAGGAGTCAACCCGTGACCCTTTGGTTCATGGGCTGCCACTCTAACCATGATCCACACTGGCCAGGACAGAACTGCCTTTTAAAGGTTTCTAACTTCAAACTTGATTATTCAGTTCCTCATTTTCTTTGCCTTCATGACTCTGCAATGATTAAACCTGTCATCTTGGCTTGCTTTTCTCTGGCTTAAATCTTCTTGGCCCATCTTGTGGCTGCCAGGCTTGTTAAGCAAACTTCTGGCGGGCACTATGTGAGAACTTGAGGATGAAGACAGTAAGCTGCATGCATTTGAAAGTCATGGCCTGTCTCCTTACTTGAATGAAAGTTCCATTAACCAAAGCCCTGTTCTGATGGATAATATCTATAATCTCGAGCAGCTTCGTGGCAAGAGGCCCAAAGGAAAGGTAGGCCACCCAGGCAACCTCCATGAAGCACCTGAACACCATTTTGATTGGGTTGTGTGAGAAGTAAGAAGGCATGACGATTTTTTTTTTAAATCCAGTAGTATTATTAATGGCAGTAGACCAAATATTTATTATGGAAGACCTACTATTGTCCAGCTCCAAGCTAAGAACTGTACAAACATAATCTTATTAATCCAAAACCACGCTGTGAGAGTTGTATTATCATTATCTCTATTCTACAGGTGAAAGGGCGGAGGCTCCAAGACATTACGTCACTTGCCTAGTTGCACACAAAAAATACTAAGAGACAGGACTCTACAACTCCAAATCACATTAGGTTGACCTTTGTTTTATTTTAATTCTGAGGACTAGAAACTACTACTACATAGCTGTAATTTCTCGTAAACTACTTGATTCTCTGAATCAGTGATATAAACCTTACTGTACTTATGTCATTTTCTTTCCTTACATTATTTAGCTTTCAGAAACCAAAAAGCAACAACATAGTCTTTTCTTTATATTATAAAAACATAGGTGGTTTTGCCTAGCCGGTGGGGCTCAGTGGTTGAGCATCGACCCATGAACCAAGAGTACAAAGTTCGATTTCCCATCAGGGCACATGCCCGGGTTGCAGGTTGGGTCCCCAGTAGTGGGTATGCAGTTGGCAGATGATCAATGATTCTCTCTCATCATTGATGTTTCCTGGAAACATTTTTTTAAAATATATTTTTATTGATTTCAGAGAGGAAGGGAAAAGGAGAGATAGAAACATCAATGATGAGAGAATCATTGATTGGCTGCCTCCTGCATGCCCCCTACTGGGGATTGAGCATACAACCTGGACATATGTCCTTGATGGGTATCGAACCTGGGACCCTTCAGTCCGCAGGCCAACGCTCTATCCACTGAGCCAAACCGGCTAGGGCTCATCATTGATATTTCTATCTCTCTCTCCCTCTCCTTTCTTCTCTGAAATCAATGCAAATAGATGGAGGGTAAAAGATAAGTTTAAAACAAAAAATAGGTGGTTTTAGTTACCAAATTCATATATTGTAAATGCATGTTAGAAAATATCCTTCAACAGAATTACAGGAAAATACGTTTGGACTGACTTTAAGACTACTGAGGTTTGGCTCTGCACCTGGGCAAGGTACATAACAGTGGCTCTCAAATTCCATATCAAAAGGATTAGAAATAAGAGTACTTACCTTTTAGAGATGTAAGGAATTCAATGACATAATGCTCAAGATTGCTTAGTAATGCATGTCCTGGAGAATATTGTTAGAATGAGGAGCATGTTAGAGTTTCAAAGTACCACCACTGAGCAGATGAGGAAACCTAGCTTTGAGGAATGACATGAAGGAAATAGCCTACCCAGCTCGTGTGACTCAGTGGCTGAGCATCAACCCATGCACCAGGAGGCCCTAGTTCAATTCCTGGTCTGGGCACCTGCCCAGGTTCTGGCTCTATCCCCAGCAGGGGGTGTGCCAGAGACAGCCAATCAATGTTGATGATGTTTCTCTTTCTCTCCCTCTCCT